CCTGTAAATCTGTCGGATAATGAATACAGGTATCTTTTTAGTTGAGTTGTCATTTTGAGACTGGAATAAGGTTGTTTGGCGCATGCGCCATCATTTGTCCTTTCTTCTGTGCGTGATCTCCGCGCCCCCTTGAGCGTATATAGATTCCCACCATCTTTGCCATAAAATTGGCTGTAAGTGCGCGCTCTGTCTTATCTCTCTGCTATATCTTCCTTTTCTGATAGAGGCGGAAATGGTGTAGGCCCGTGTGCTCATATTCGGGTGCACGTTAAAGAACTCCAGGTGGTCGAAATTTCCGGAGCCCTCCACTACGGCGTCTCTCACAATCATATGGTGGTTTTGGGACGTTAAACCCCACATATCAATCAATTCTATATCTTCCTTCTTAAACGTTGCCTGTGCAGTAAGAAATATATTTCTTAAAAAAACCAAAGGGCACTGGCGGTACTGCTGTGTATTCAAGCGCCACAGTATGTAAAAAGGAGGACGTATAGAGGAATGGAGAACGTAGAAAGAGGAGACAGCGTTGTACCCAAGCGGTCAGCCGAGCGAAATTCTGCTCTCGCTCTCTTTCTAGTGCTGTCGAACTCGTTTTTAAACCGTATGGCACGTGTCTGCTATATTTATTTGAGAGTGAGAGCAGCCACCAGTGGAGACCAGGACAACGCAGTCGAGTTTAAACGGTGTTTTGCCGAAAGGAAACGAGCATATTATGCAACAAAGGGCATTGTAAACTTTTTTATCTGGCCCGTTGAGCGTTGAGTAGTGAATTTTCAGACTAACGAAGTTTCCATGCGTCCGTTCATTTGACCATCCCCACCAAACTCTATCTGATGCCACTGCGTGTAGTGAACGAAACCATAGGCAGGTATTCTTTCTTTTTTTGTAGACAGTTGCGTGTAAAGGAAAGCTGCGTTGCCCACAACACTTCTGCAGAACCACGTTCACATGCCTCTGAGCTGTAATAAAAGATACGCTCGCGGTGAAAACTCGTTGCCGAAGTGCCTCTGTTTTAACTTAATTTGTATTGTAAAGACTGGGTTCTTGTTAGGAACGAAAGAGCGGACAACTCAAAGCTTAGCTTTATGGAGCCAGGCCATTCGATAAGCGTTTTTCTCACTTGCTGCCTTGGCTAAGTAACATCGAAATTTAGGCGTTGCTAGAGAATTATCAATTGTCTTCGATGTTTACTTGTTGTTTAGTTCACCTAACACACAATTTCGCTTTTTCCGCTTGCCTGTGCAGCTTAAAATGAACATGTCTGTTCAACATCGATAATTGCTGGGCTTTAATGTACCAACAAGATATCATTCTGAGGTGTGCTAAAGGGTGCGTACTAAGATTACGACCGCTTGGGGTTCTTCAATGTGCACATATCTTTTGGTTCACGGGTGTTCTTTCTATATTTCGTCCCCATCTAAATGCAGCCATTGTGGTCGGAGATCCATCCCGCGCTATCAAGCATAAGACCACGACACCACCCGTGTTATGCTGTCACAGTGCTTTGCTTGATCAACTTCCACGTACATATATACCGCAGACAAGGTGTACATATGCCACCAGAAAAAAAAGTGATGCTGCAGCCACTACTTATTTCTTTTTCTAAATACAGAAGTGCGCAGTGTAGTATCGTCGCCGCACGGGCATATAAGCCGGTACTAACATAGCACAAAATCCAACCCAGAAAATGATCACGAGGGAGTCGCCATCACTGCACAACAATGTCTCTTCATTGCCTCATGCATAGAGAGAATCCACTTTGCAGAGCTTCTCTCAGTTTTGAATTGCTATTTATGTGAGAGTAGTTTTCAGACAGTTTTTAAACCACATTGCAATTTTACTGGCACAATCGCTTTTAGAGCTGTTCGTTCCAAAATGAAGCACGACAGCGCCACAAGTACGTGCTCTCCCTAAAGCCGGTTGTCTGGGCGCGAATGGCTGAGGTGTGTCGCGACTCTGTGCCAAGTGCTGTTTTTGGTGAGCCACCTATCCAGTCCTCGTCTTCTATAAAACCAAGACTTCGGATCAATGCAAGTCTCAAAAAGCACGTGAAATTTTGGAGGTTTATTTATTGCGAAAAGACAACATAGGGTACCACATCAGCAAATCTTTCATAGCCTTTGGATATACCAATGAAAAGTTAATACAGGCGCCTTGCAATAATCCACAAGAGTCAGGCATGAAATCGGGTCAGCATAGATTCTTTCATCTTGTGTTGTCTATCTGGTGGTCAGTCATCCTTTTGTGCAGTATTAGCTGATGTGTGCCCATGAATAGCCCAGAGTTTAGAGCTCGTGCGGTCGTGTGTCTTGTTGTCCTGTTATAAATTTATACAGCCATAGGCTATAGTTGCAGACTAGTTCACCTGGCTTGCAACCCTGTAAGTCATGTTTAGAAATCATGAAAGACCTGGTGTTTATTTGTAACTTAGTCAAACAAGCTTGTTTTATTCAACTTTCACTGAAACCTATTTCTAAATATTTTTGGACTGTGGCAGTTTTTTTTTGCACAATGACTGTTGAACTATTTGTTCAATTCTTTTCATATTGGTCACAAGGCATTTTATCTGAATAGTTCAATATAACGTCTGCTGTCATTGTTTTTCATTGTTTTAGTTTCGTATATGTTATATTGCAGTGCTTAAAACTTATTTTGATGTGTTTATTTCTATTCACGTATGCAGGTGTTTGAAAAAGTTCAGCGTTTTATCAAGACGTGGCTGTTAAAGTTTGTTTGCCTCGATGGAGATTAGGAAATGCACTCACACATGTGTTCATAGATTTGCAGCCCGATGGCTGCCGCCCCTTAGAGCAGGGATCTGCAACAGCCTGTGATGGTTGGTTTCCTGCCCAATCGCTGCTTGAAGAACCCTGGGCAGTCCACCGTTTTTGCCTCATCTCCTGCTGCAGTCTCCAAATCATCGCCCCACCTCTGCTGCCCTGGCCAGCCCTATGCCCATAGAGTCTTGCTGAACTCGCCTCCTAGTTTGGGCTGCATTACGGAACAGCAGTAACTTAAAAAGCTGAACTGAAAATTTCAATAAATGGTTCGACGTGTTATATTTAGAAATAAAGTTACAAAAATTGCGTTCCTGTATTCGTATTTCAGGCGTAACAATATATTGCTTGTGTGCAGAATATTTGCACCGAGCAGTGTTTTAGGTAATGTTTTAGCTAATACTTGAGGGAACAGCCTTTATTATAATTTCTTGTAAAACTGAGGAGATATGTGTGGAGAAAACTAGAAAGTAACTAGACTTGTGCAGCCTTATGCTCTACATCCGGGGAGGGTAAAGGGTTATGCAAGAAAAAAGGCAAAAATGGACAATTTAGTAGAATTGTGTAGTGTTTCTACATTAGTCATCCAGTGGTCAGTCACCTTGACGTAAACTACTCCGTGAAGCACGTATGAGGCTGCTATAAGCTGCTATGGGAAGTTCTGGGGGCGTATTGTAAAGTTTACCTGCTAAGGAACGCCAGAATTAAAGAGCCCATATTATTATTGCTGGAGTATTGGCAAGCCACGGTAGCCGATATTCATCGTAAAGCAAATACTGCCGTAATACTGGCATTTCATTGACAACAAAGTGGCCTGAGAATGGTCCTATGCTGGATGTATGTTGGCAACTACGTCGATGAAAGGACGGGCCTTCATTAACATGTGTAGAGTGGGCCAGCGTCGGTTGGATACTGACAGATGCAACGGCAGAACGTCGGCCCCAGGTCGGCTTAAACATCGGTTCTAGATCGCAAGAAGTTGCACTTTGCCGAGATGCCGAGCTTGGGCCAGTATTGCGGCCGACGTTACCCTAAATGGGCCTAAGATCGGTCCAATGCTGGTGTGCTGCCTAGGTTAAAATGAACTGCTCTCTGCACATTTCTCATCTTTGGGCATTTGGTAGAATTGTACACTTGCACTGTGCAATTAAATATGTCGTATATTCCTCGCACAGGGTGCGAATTCTAAAAATTATTTTTTCAAAAACAGGCTGACGCACAGGCGTGGCTTTACGGAAGCGCACCCGCTTGCTGTGAGGTAGCCTTGGGCTTAATGCCGACTGGAATTGAACCTTGCTAATATTTTAGCCTACTTGGATTTTTTGCTCATGCGCATTGCTAATTTTCACAAACATCCTGTGGGCCTACATGCCACTAGCTGTATTCGAATTCTTACCCACTTCTACCTAGGCCAGATAAGTAGCTGAGATATCGTAAAGAACTAAATAACATACTAAAAAAGATCAGCACTAGCTTTTTCTTGAATACAGTCAATTTACTAAGAATGTGAAGTGTAACCTGGGGGAATTGAATGTTCATTGTGTTATGTGAAAGCTTGCGCAATGTACACTGCTCTTTGACGGCCATGACATCCTTTACCGTGAATGATGAGCTGTGGACGCCAGGTGGCTCGCCTTGAACCCGACGACTAACGTCCATGATCAATACGAAACCTTTCTTGTTCAAATAAAATCTGTACATACAGACGCAGCTTCTTACAACACCCACCCAAATATTACATCAGCAACATAGTAAACTGGTGCTGGTAGCCTATATAACCTTTTTCAAAGCATCGTCATATGTGTAGAGAAATTCCAAGGTGTATCCTCGGCGATAATATGGTAGCTTTTGCCTCTACTGCTACTCACAATATCGAGGAGCATTTTAGGAACGCGAGAGGGAGAAGAGTTTTTTAACAAGATTTTCGAACATCCTCAGACGTTCAACTTCCGCTGCCTTGTGTTTGGTGGAAAAGATAAAAGACGCATCTTTAAGACGTGTCTGTGTGTGCCGGTAGAGTTGCGAATAGGGCGCCAAGAGCCTATCATGGCGTACAATGCACCATGGTTTTTTTCGCAATTCTTTTTGTTATGTTTTTTGTCATCTTTTACCTGTATTTCGCTAAGGTAGTTTCCATGACGGCAATGGCCTAGACGATGTCTTTGTAAACTACGGTTTAATACACGTTTGTGTTAAAATAGGCTAAGCGTTCTGCGCAGTCGCAATATAACGAGATCAAATTTATTTAAAACACAATCTTTCAAGTTTCCCCGTTTATTTGATTAGCTTTAGGTGCCCAACAGTCGACCAAGAGATCCACAGGATTACAAGCTTGTCGTTGGTCGCATTCGCCTAATAAGCACTTGTAGGTAACACCTTGTTTTCCATAGTACTTCGAAGCACCTGGAGCGAGGGCCTAAAAAAGGTAGGAAAGTGGTAAACAAATTTGTTATACAGGACGTCTCCAGGATAGTATTTTCTTTATTCACAGACTTAACTCATTCCAAACTCTGCTGCACTTTAGTAAGCTTATAAGCAGGCAGCATAAACATAAACAACAGAGAATTTTGTATATGTGTCTGTGTTCACTATACTCATTTTATTGACAGCATACAGCTGCCATTTTCTTTCCCTCATTGTGCAGGCAAACAGCAACACCTGAGTACCATTGCGTCGTCATTCATGTTACAAGATTTTCTTTTTTTTCGCTCACAAACAGTAAACCACTCAAACATATCCTGTATTGCTCTTCGGTTTATTTAAAACACATCATACTTTGGTAACAATAGCGCCTATAAAACATCAGTGTTAGTTCCTGAATCGCTAGGTACTAAAATCAATGTTAAAACGCACCTAAATCTTTTCATGTCCACAGAATTTATACAATTATAAATGCGACTGGAGCATCTATTCAGTTTTCCAGGATAGACTTCTTAAGAGCTCCTTAGATGTGCATCGTCAACAGGATAAGAAGAAATACACCACCTAACATACCGCATTTGACATTTAGAATGCGTCTAAAACACCTAAGTAGTAGTTACCAGAATAATTCCAGAAAAGATAAGTTACCATTATGAACCTTTTGCTGAAAGCTTTTTTCAATGACCATAGTTTTCCTAAAAGTGAGCTCTCCCGTCAAGAAAATCTAGGAAAGGTCCTTGCAGCTATGCGGAAAGCAAACATAAAAGCAGACTTTATACAGCAAATTGTGTACAGAAAAATTGCAAGCGTAGCTATTTTTTTTGTCAGAGTGCTATATAGCCGTCCTGCAGATTCTTCAGCGCACATACTAAAACAGGCAAAATCTTTTGATCGCCGGCAGGTTTTACTTGCCGGCTCCTACGTGGGACTCAGCCGCTTCACCCCACTTATGATCAATCACTCTGTGGTTATGCTGTGAGTTTTTATCTTTACTTAAATGTGTTAAAATTTGTTTCAGCAGCCGCTTGTTTGCCTTGTAAATGGAGTCCTTGGCCCCAGTAAAACTCACCCACCAGAGCGTTTAGACCAGAGGACCATCCATAATGTGGTATTTTGTGAATTCTCTAAACAAGACTAATAACAAAAAACAGTAAATAATGGCGTCTGTTTGTCTGTCTGTCTGTCTGTCTGTCTGTCTGCGGAAATGCTTTGCTGGCTACGTTGCAGAGGCGTGGAACTGCCGTAGACTATAGGAAGCTTCATGTCCAAAATTACATTAACAAACATATTAAAAGGCGTAGGAAGCATGACAGGCACATGGTTTTCTTTTTTTAAAACAGTGTGGAACAAAAAACAATAGTAAGCAAAAGCTGAAAAGTTACTCACATAAACCAAGTGATATACAATGAAAACAGTTTCACACAAAATAAATACACACAGAATTTAGGCAGTAAACTACACATAACAATAGCATCTTCACAGTATAAAAAATGGTACTTTTTACTCAACAGCTATGTCCAGAGAAAAATAGAGTATACGATTCCTAAATATTTGAAATGTATAAACATTGCTAGTTCAAAAATCTTTCACGTAAGTTAGTGATAGCACAATTAGATAAACGTTTATGCTTATTTAGAATACAAGGAAGGTTATACTTCAGCGACCGTAGGACAAAGCCGGTGGGAAAGCACGGTATAACCCAGTCTCCTATATTGCCAGTGTTGATTACACGACTGTTGTGCTGTCGAACCAAAGTTGACCGAATAAATACTGGTAAATGCAGAACATAAACAAAAAACTATCACAAATTACAAAACTCACACAAATATTCAATTTTGATTACAGTGCCTTCGGGAAAATGAGTCAAAGTCTAAAATAAGCAAACTGTGTTTGCAATGTGCCACGTACCTTTCTTTTGCGAAGAAAATATTTTTCATGTTACGATGAGTTGTATTGAGCCAACAGACTGCAATTATTTATATTTTAATTTTTAACAGCACTAGATGCTTGTTTATTTTTATTTTTGTCAGAAAAATTTATAGGCAATGCGGCAGAGCACCCATAGTAAAATACAGTTTTTGCACAAATGACTTACGTGAGAACGTCATGTTAGATGCGACCGAAATGGTACGTCGAGGAACTTGTGTTCTTTGCCAACATCTATTTTTTAGTCTGCCCGCGTTATGTTTTGTTTACCGTTCAAAACCCTATTTTATCTTCATTCTCAAACTTAATTTTAAGTTTGTTAAATAATGATTATGATGTTTTGTTGGAGGGGAAGCGATTGCAACTTTTCACTTACGTACATGTATTTGCACTGGAAATCAATAAAAGGCGTAATCAGCATAAACTATATAAGTTATTGACTTATTATATTAACATTATCATTCATAAAACATTAAAAATTAGGAATACTGATATACTTTTGTGTGGTTTGCTAGTACTAACGGGTGATGAAACTAAGTGGCGTTTACCTAAACACACATACACACTGTTATCGCTCTGGTAAATATGATTTCAAAAGAACCAGAGAGCACCCCGAATGCCATAGATTCTTAAGTGCTAGAGTAATAAGGTCAATGAAATAAACAACCTTGATGAAATCAAACGAGCCTGGTGTAAAAAGCCTGCCGTCGATGTGTTGTAAAACTATTTTTTGGGGCGTAAGAAAGCTGACTCCCTAGACTTGTTTATATATAAACTGAGCATCATCTACAGTGTCATTTCTGGTGAAAAATTAGATAATCGAATATGCAGCATTTTCTTTCAGAAGATTTGGCAAATACCATATAATCGAATCGGGCGACAGTTTTCGAGCAGGTTTTTGTCACTAACTTGAAACCGTACAGACACAGGGTAGCCTTTCATTTTATGCCAGAATTCCCCGGGCTCAACTCAACAAGTACAGGAGCTAAATGAGCTAAAACAAATCTTACGGGACCGACCCGAAGATGGTAAATATTTAGCGCCCTGCTATGCCTAAGACTGATAAACGTTCTGAATGACTCTGGTTCATTGGTAGGGTAGAAACCCGTTATTGAGCATTTTGAATATTTGAGCTGTTCGTTCATACAGATTGATTAACTGGTGTTATAGCAAAAATGAAGAATTATTTGAAGAAAACAGCAAGTGCTGCATCATTGCCACACGATTGTATAACGTTTTTTCAAGTGGCACGAAACCCACCTTCTGGCATCCCAAAACACTGTTTAATGCTTATAAATTTGTATTAGAATATCTTGTGCAGATACAAGCAGCCAACTTTTTTAGCAGTCGTCTTCGCCTTTCAAAAGGCACTGTTTGTTTATTTCTTAAGGCTTCATACTGTTTTAGTAAGTGTTCCGCACAAGATTGCAAAAATTTTCACGTACAGTGGAAATTCGTGATATGCGAAGCACGAATAAGAAATGTTTAAATGTCCCTTTCATATTAGCACAACGTTACGAGGTGGAGGTAAATCATGCCGTACATGACCTCCCTGTCATAGTTATTAATTTTGGATGTGTCGTTTACCTTCGTTATCTATTCAAGTAACGTGCTACAAAGTTTGGTAATGGTGGAGCTAGCGAAACAGTCGCGAGCACGCTATGAGCGTCATGTGTTGTCTTGTTCTTACAAGACACGCATGTCAGTATTATCATGATTGCACCAATAATTTTCGTCATCGATTTACGTCACGTAACACAAAATTTCGTATATTTGTAGCTAGCAAAACGGCCGTGAGTGAGTCTTGAAGGAACCAACATACTCTAATGTAGGGTTAATGCGCGCGCGCGCAGGGCACAGCGACGATACGTTAGAAAAACGCGAGCACTCTATATTGTGAAGACAGGTGCGACCAACGCGACCAGCGTCAGTAGGCGCCGCCCGACGGCCACTGGCACCAAATGCGACATGCTGTATGTCGCGCCGATGCGTTACCCAAACAACACGGCGTCTCCATCTTTTCGTGACGGAGGGACACCAGACATGCTGAAACACGCATACGGCAAAGCAACACAGCGCGCGCCTGCAAGCATACGGCAGTACCGGCGGCTAGTGTGGCAACGCCGGCATGACGCGACGAAATGAACACCGGCGAGCACGCGCACCGCGCCACGTCGAAATGTATCGAGTCTTTGACTGTGGCATGTAATCTTGTGCTCACATGACACGCATCTCATGATTATCATGTTTGCACCAGTCGCATACCTTCGTCACCCATTGGTATCACGCAATACCAAATTTGGCATATGTGAAGCTAGCAAAACGGGCGCGAGCGCATGATCAGTGTGGCAGGTAGCAAGTTGTTACATGACCCACATGTCGTGATTATCATGTTTGAATTTGTCATTTACCTATGTCGTCCGTTTACGTCACATAATAACAAGTTTGGTACATGTAAAGCTAGCAAAACGGCCGCAAGCGCGTATTGAGCGTAGCATGTAGTCATGGTACATGAGGCGCATCTTATGCTTACCATATTTGCATTAGTATCATACCTTCGTCATTCATTCATGTCCCGTTATACCAAATTTGGTATAAGTAAAGCTAGCGAAATGGCCGCCAGCGCATCATGAGCGAGGCATGTAGTTATGTTGTTACATAACTTGCATATCATGATTTTTATGTTAGGGTCTCTCGCTTGCGTTCGCCATGCAATCGTGCCATACTCTACCAGTTTTGCAACATACCATGTGAACGAAACCACCGCAAGAGCTGCAGGACCATGAAATGTATATCATAACATTATTGACATACACGTCATGATTTTCATGTTATGACTAGTCAAATATGTGCTTCATACTTTCGTGTTAGGCCATACCAAAATTGGCACCGATACTATTATCCAAATGGTGAGGAGAGCTGAACGTCGTAGGCAGCTAGATAGATAATAAATAGATAGGTATATAGATAGATACATAGATAGATGGATAGATAAGTAGGTAGATACGTTTAAGGTCGCCGAAGTTCACTGAGAGATGTCTTGCAGTTAAAAGCTCGCCTTTTCAACTT